GTGACCCAGGAGACCCAGCTCTAGAAAAATCCAGAGTTGGTACCAGTGACTGGGTAAGAAGCTTGGCATCCAGCCTTGGACAGTCCATGGATTTAATTTCTAGACTGTTAATTGAGGAATCTATGAACATGGTGTGCCTAGGAATGTATGGAAGTAAGGTCTGTTTATGTTTCAGGAGCAAACATCCAGTCCTGAGCCTCTGGAAAGGCAGTAAAGGAGTGGAGAGTGTCTGTGTTTATGGCAGGGATGGTTAGGTACCCATGGGTGCAACAGCATTGCTCTGTCTGCGTGAATCTCACATCAGCTGCATACATCTGGGGGCTTGGGTCCTGGCTCTCTGGAATGCAGCAGAAGTCTCTTGGACACACACATGGGAAAAGCAGCAGCCACATCCATCAGGTGGGGATAGGACAAGCCTCCTGGGTGGGAGAGTCCACCTCATGCAGGTCGGGGAAACCTAAAAGGAGAACTGCTCCCTGTTCAGAAGGCTGCTCCAAAACAGAATGGGGAAGGAAACCCAAAGGATCTCTGTCGCAGATCCCAGGGTGGACAGAGAGGCACTACTGGCCAGGCTGGGAAAGCAGTGGGGAGGGCTGGCACCTTTACTTGCACTGTGTGGCCACTGGACTGCCTTAGAACAAAAGTGCAGGAGGGATGCAAGCTCAAAGCCTTAGAAAAACCTTCTTTAGTGTTTGTTTTCTCCAGTCAGTACCATTAGAGCATCTGAGCAGGACCCTTCCCCGCAGGCCCAAGGGTGTCTTAGCTCTCTCCTGGCGAGCTCTGCCTTGAAGCAGGTGCAGGAACCAGCACCCGCGTGGACGCTCTCGCCCTTCCCTGGGCTGTGGTGCGCAGTGGCTGGGGCTGAGCCAAGGAAGGCCAAGCCCAGGCAGAGGCCCAGCTGCCCATCACCAGCGTTCTCGGGGCAAGAGAAGAATCGCTTTCCACTGTGCGGGCCAGCTCTAACTAGCCCCAGAAATCTAGAGCACAGGGCAAAAGAAACTCAGGGTCCAGGGCTTAGGCAGATGGGGGTTTCTCTTCAGGGCAGGTCTCCTCTTTATCCGAAAAATCCTCATTCTTCTGCAGGTCAAAGCTCTGAAAAGGAGCAGGACAGAGAACGGATGAGAAGCTTGACAGCAACAGCTAGACTCTGCTGTTTTCTTTCGAATTTGGTCTAGGGCAGCATGGGCTCTTCAGAGGTGCACCACCCCAACCCCTGCAGCCTGGACACAAGCAGCACACAAACCCCACGGTGTCACCAGCATAAGGCAGATCTTCCCATGCCGGCAAAGTTTCATCCTTTACCCCAGGCACCCGAGGGAAAAAGGAGCAGAGGTGCTGGTCCCTTTGGAGTGCAGTGAGCAGAGCCCTACTTACCTCCAGCTCTCGCATGACCTCGTCCATGAAATCTCCTGAATCTTGTTTGTAAGCAACGGCCAGTTTGATGGCATCATTGAAAACCTGAGCAGGAGAAGAATGCTTGTCATTCACAGTAAGGGGCACTGGGCTTCTATAACATTGGGAAACTGCTCCCACACCCCAAGAGAAAAAAAACACCTGTAGCTACCAGGACTTCCCAAGCCACCAGACTGAGGTACTAGCCCATCTTCTGCCCTCTGTGCCTACAGCAGTCTCCACGTCCCCAGACTGTACAGGCATCTCACAGGCACTGAGCCAAATAGCTGGTTTACCTTCACTACATTGGTGCCATCTGCAGCAGACACAAAGTAAAAGGGCAGATTGAACTTCCGGGCAAAGTTGAAGCTTTTCTGCGTCACCTTCATATCCGCTGAGGGCAGAAAAGGGAGAAGTGGTCAGTAAGACATCACTGCAGGCAGAACACCAACACGTGTGGCCTAGTGGCACAGGTGGAGGTGTCACCCCTATGGCTGTGAGTCCAGGGCACGCTCACAGCGTACAAGCAACTCAACTGCTCTATTTTTTACTTGACAGGCCGCTAGGTCCAGCCAGACCAACCTCAGTGGGCCAGAGGCTTTATTTCATCTTGGGAACAAATCCAGTCCCCGTTTCCAGGAGGTGCTGACACAGCAGCAGCAGCTCAGAGTTTGACAAGCAGACAGCCCATGTGCCAGCCCAGGAGGGTGACTCCGGACCATCCGCCCTTCCTCACAGAAGCAATACCCGAAGGAGTTCAGGCTCCAGGCGCTTCCCAGCAAGTGCTGCCCAGGCAGGCACTCCCCACCCCTGCACCAGAAACTCTTCTGCAGATGGGGCCCATGTTAAGAGCTGTGGGCTGAGCATTTCCCATCCAGGTGGAACACATGAAACGCAGACAGGCCAGAGGACTCGCCTGCAGCAGCGTCCACTTACACGTGGAACTCTAAGAGCAGGATTGTTCTACACAGAATTTGTGCTTACAACATGGGTGTCAGCACCAAGCCCATTTGCCTCAGCCTTCCTGTACAGTCTGAGCACTCTCTGGCTTCCAGGCTGGCTTGACACATCCTATAGGGAAAGCTTTTATTAGGTAAGATCGATCATGCCCTAAACCACCCCACCAAAGCACGTGAACTTCCACAAGCTACAGTGGGAGCCCAGACCCATTCTGGTGGTCACAGCTGTTCATAGCTGCGATGATTTCTATCACACGTGTCAGCCAGGAAGCCCATGTCTGACACTGTACTTGGCAAAGCACAGCAGGAGACTGTGGTCCTAAGAGTCTGTGTTCTGTCGTTGACACTGAGCAGAAAGATGATGTCTTCTGAACGCTCACAGGCGACAGGTCAC